GGTTTTAAAATGGTCTTGTATTGTAATCAAATTTCATGATTCGTTTTAATGGCACATTATAATTATTTACAAAAAATATATTAATTCTGTTTTAGTATACGTTTTCACCATGTTGTAGTTGTGATTTATAATATCCTGCACTTCGATGACATAGACCCGTACAGATGCCAATATGTATGTTGTTCTACTTTGATTCATTCGTAAAACATGATCTGCAAGTTATTCACCGGTGTCAGCAGTCTATATCAGAGTGAAGCACAACTTTCATTAAAAATGACAATAATTCTGGAACATCCTCCCACGAGATTTGAAGATTTATGTATGACATATATTATCGCTTTATATGATGTTAAAACAATGTTATCCAGCTTTCAACCTCTTTTAGGGTCAAATTTCACTTAAACAGTGACCAGTTAACCAAAAAAAACTTCAACGTGATAGAAATCGTAGTCGAAAATGAATTTATCGACAAAAACATTATTTTCTATCTTTGTCATGTTCTTCAACTGCTCTAGAAATTAGTAAGTCAATTATACCCATTCCATTGTGAGAACTCTTCCGATCAAGTATGAAGAACAAAAAAAATCAACTACATCAAACCTACGAAAGGCAAACTGAACTGTATTATTAGTTTTCTTCCGATCACCCTCACTAACTACCAAGTTTTAAATCAGCCTTGTATTTATGGAAATCAAACTTCATGACTCGTTTTAATGATACATTATAATTATTTGCAAAAAGAAAAGGAAAAATATTAATTCTGTTATAGTACAAATACTTTTACCGTGTTGTAGGTGGTTTTTTACAACAGTTATTTTACTTTTTAATCATTTATAAATTTGAAATATTAGCAATTCCTTTCTCATTTATTAAGTAAACTTAAGTTTTCATCCAGATTACTTTGTCTTTTTGTATCAGATATGTGTATGTAGTCGCATAATTTACTAGAGTTAGAATTTTTTAAATAAATATTTCTTGACCAGCTTTACAGGCTCCGATAAATCCTATAAATCTCCATTTCTTTAAAACATCTGATCAAAGATAAAACTGAAAGTCTTACAAAAGCTACAATGCACCACCATATACAATTTCAAATATATGAATAATACATGTAAAAAACATTTAATTGAAAATGGGTAGTCAAGAGTTATTTTATTAACCAACATTTTCTATTAATTATGAATAACTAGCATATAAACCATAAAAAATGACGGGGCAAGTACTACCATCTCCACCCCACAGTACACTCTAACCTCACATTTCATAGTTAACTGAAATAAATAAATTTTGCGAAATCAAGCTTGATCAATAAAGAAGCAGAAAAGTGCAGTCGAGGCAGTCAAATGTCGGTAAATTCCTTTGTGAGCCAATCACAATTAAGATAATTCATGAAAGGCGTGTTCATAGAATAATTATTAGTAAAAATCAGATTAAAAACTTCCAATGTGTATAGAAAAGCCAGTGCGTTCTGGTAACACTACGTTCCAACAATGGCTTTTATGTCATGTTGCTTAGCAACAAAAGTATAACTTAATATTGTTGTTAGTCTATGTACTGAAAGTATAAAATGAAATATACAGACAACAAAACTAGAAAAATATTTGTTGATTTCTTAATTTAGTCTCCGTTGATTAAAGAGGTTTGTTTTTTATTAGAAACACTGTGATATAACATAAAATAGCTTCATTCAGAAACGATTAGTTTAAAATTGAATCGATATTTTTTCTTTTATGATAAATTTTATCCACTTTGCTCTAGGTTAGGTGATCTCACACTACGTCTTTATTTTAGGCTTATTAATATTATACCAACACTCACGTGTTGATTTCATGCCTCACACACACACCCCTCACGGCCCCCTTGTATCCCTGTCACTAAAATTGTAATGGGGACACAGTTTTCGAAGTATTCTAACTGGGTAAATGCATTTTGTCTTTTATGAATTCTCCCATTCCGAGAAATAATGCATGACGTGACATACACTGGCTTTTATATACTGTTACGTCTCTGCTCGTTTGTTAATTTCCCGTAAAATTTCTTTCCGGGAAACTTCGGCGATACGAGTTCTTTCTTAATTAAAACTAGTTTATTCTTTCTCGTTACAAACTTGGCAATACACTTAATTTCCACAGTCACTTTAAAGTTAACTACTTTTATAAACACACGCTATAATTCAAAAAGATTCACGCACTTTACTTAAGGTCACTACCGCTCGCTTGACTCAATTATCTACCTCTATATCTATCTGCAGTTCTTATCTCCGCTTTATTTGCCGGGCTTATATATTAAAATAGAGGGCGCCTAGAAAAGACTAGAGTTGCCAG